TTCACCCCTGTTTGCATTCCACCTCATATTTCATTACCCTTCATTCATATCATATCACATCCACGTAAAATCCTATCATCACCTTTCCAACGACCATCACTTCCATGTGGAGAATCGTCTATGGACATACAAGCCAGGGATAGTGGTCATGTAGCCTTAAGATCTATCCAAAAGAGAGAGAATCTAGATTAAGACCATAAGCTAAGAAGGATTAAGCATAAAACCTCTAATCTATCCCATCTCAAACCCTAATGGGTAACTACTCACTACACATGAATGTAAACACAAGCAAATGCAATAAAAGAGACATCATAAGAAAGAGGAGATGAAATAAACAACTTTTATTGAAATAAGCAAGTGCAAATACAAAGAGATTATCCAGGATCTAGGATTCAAGAAGCAAGAGCTTCAAGAACACAAAGATGGATTAGAGCTCTAAAAGTAAAGACAATAAATTAAAAGAACTAAAACAAAATAATCTAAAGCTTGGTTTTTTTTCGTGGCTTAGAGCCTTTAAATACAAAGAGGATTAGGTTTAGGGTCAAAGGAAAGTCAAGGGGGAAGCAACATTTTTCGGGTTTGACTTTGACTTCTCAGCTCTTGATCGAGTTGAAGCTTGGCGAGTGGTCGAGCTGGTCTTCAAGATGGCTTCTCCTTCTTCCTTTGCGTATCCAGTTGAGCTGCTTCCATGTGCCAAGTCCCTCCATGCTCCTTGTCCCATATGCTCCAGAATGCTCCAAAAGACCTATTTCAAAGGACCAAACATGCATATGTATGCAAATGCAACCTAAAACTAACATGAATGCATAAGAAGAGAAAAGGAACAAGATATGATGCATAATGGAAGCTAAAACTATGCAAAAGATGCATAAAAGATGTGCTAAAACTATGTAAAATGCAAGTACATCAACACCCCCAAACTTGAACTTTGCTTGCCCTCAAGCAAACAAATAGAACAAGAAAGAGATGAGGTTTGAAAATAAGCTGATTCAACACTTAAAAACATGTCCTCAAAAGCGATTTGCTAAATGTCCAACTTAGAGATTCTAGAATGCAAGTACATCAGGTATCATTTTATTTTTTCTATCGACCCCTCTATCAATCACAGGATAAGTCTTTAGCTTGTTCTTTGTTTGAATAAGGTATTCCATAAAACATGAAGGTACAGACATATACATTCCTCATGCTTACTTGTTTTCCTTGTGCTCTTAGAGCTTTTCTAAAAAGTATTTCTTTCCTTCATGTGTAGTGAGTAGTTACCCATTGGGTTTGAGATGGGATAGATTAGAGGTTTCATATGCTTAATCCTTCTAGCTTATGGTCTTAATCTAGATTCTCTCTCTTTTGGATAGATCTTAAGGCTACATGACCACTACCCCTGGCTTGTAAGTCCTTAGGCGACTCCCCACACGAAAGTGATGGCATTCGCTGGAAAAGATCCACTAAGAGCTCCAATATCTCTTGCTCTAGACATAGAGGTCTAAGGGGTTGGATGGATTAGTTTGGGCAATGATCCTATAGCCTCCAAGGTTTGATTCTCACTGGCTAACCCCCTGTTTCTGAGATCATTCCTTGGTTGATAGCCTCCACCTTGGGAAAGGGTTGGCTAGGCATTGAGAAGCCCAATATCAAGAGAAGCCTTGATACAAGGAGTTTTAAGAGCTAGATTGATTAAGTGTAGATTCCTTTGATTGCAAAACCCTGTCTTGAACCCTAATTCTCTCTTTATCTTGTTAAAGTCGTCACCTTTAGCTTTGTTTGTCTCAACTCGTCCCTAAACTCGATCGAGCTGGTACTTTGCTCTGACTCGACTCGAGCTCTTGGTCGAGCTGACACTTCACTGCTTTGTTTACTTTTATTGCACTGCTTTTCATTTTATTTAGGTTGTTAGTGTTACTTCAAATCTATAACTGCTTGCTTGACTTCCTGGTTGTTTCATATTCTCAAAGAGTGACAAGTTTCCCATTTTGGATTGATAACCTCTTATACTTCAATGACTATGATGGTTAAGAGGAATTGATTGATTGTGATTGCACCATTTCATCTTTATTCACCCCTGTTTGCATTCCACCTCATATTTCATACTTCATTCATATCATCACACCACAAAATCCTATCATCAATTTGGCGCCGTTGCCGATTTGGGAATATTTTTGTTGCATTTGAGTTTCAAACACACTTGGACGATCAAGCTATACCACCCCTGTTCTATTGTACTGCTGGGTTTTTGTCTCTTTTTGCAGGTGTATGCGAACTCGATCGAGTCGGTCTACAGAGGACTTGGTCGAGCTAGACTTACAACGGGTAGAAAGAGGGTTCAGAGGTCACAGAGGGTACAAGAGGAACCTGAGGTGCTTGTTGCTGATACAATGGATGTACCAGAGGGGAATGGAAACCCTTTGGGAATGGACTCGGTCGAGCTAGGCAAACTCGACCGATTGGTCAAGGAGATGCTCCAAACCGCCACCAACAGAGACAAGGGATTGTTCCACCACCAGTGCAGAACCACAACTTTGAGATCAAGCTGGGAATGATCAACCTTGTCCAGAACAAGATGTTCCATGGATTGCCAAGTGAAGACCCCATTGACCACCTTGATGAGTTTGATAGGCTTTGTGATTTGACAAAGATCAATGGTGTCTCTGAAGATGCCATCAAGCTGAGACTCTTTCCTATGTCTCTAGCTGACAAAGCTCACCAATGGGAGAAGAGCTTGCCCCATGGCACAATCACCACTTGGGATGAATGCAAGAAGGCCTTTCTTGCTAAGTTTTTCTCCACCGGTCGCACAGCCAAGCTTAGAGGAGAGATATCCAGCTTCATCCAGCGAAACAATGAGACATTCGCAGAGGCTTGGGAGAGGTTCAAAGGCTACACAAGTCAGTGCCCACACCATGGATTCAACAATGAATCCTACTCTCCACTCTTTATAGAGGATGCTTGCCTAGGTATAGGGAGATGCTAGACACAGCTAGCAATGGGAACTTCCTCAACCAGGATGTAGATGATGGCTGGCAACTTGTGGAGAACATAGCTAACTCAAATGGAAGCTATGGAGAAGAGTATGATCGCACCAACCGGAGCTCGACCCACCACTCGATCGAGTCAGACGAAAAGTTGAGAAAAGATGTTAAGGCATTGAATGAGAAGTTGGATAAGCTGATCCTAGCTCAGTCCACAATGAAGAAAGTCAACTTTGTGTCTGCTGAGGAGATGGAACCAGTCCAAGAAGGGGAGGATACACAATTTGCTGAGGTGTGCTACATGAGCAATGGGCAAGGAGGTTACAACAAAGGATACTATAATTACAAGTCCAACCCTGCCATGTCATACCGCAACACTGATGTTGCTAACCCTCAGGACCAAGTATATCCTCAACAACAAGCAGCTCGATCGAGTCAGGTGCCACAACATGGGTATGGTCAAAAGAACAATTACCAAGGACCACAAGGCACTTTCCCTGGACAACAAATGAATATCCCACCAGGCTTTCCCCACCAACCACCCCAGCCTGCACCTTCACAAGAGAATGAGCTCAAGGCAATGCTAAAGCAACTTACTTCAAGGGCAAGCTGATGGGGTAGTGGACACAAGCAAGAAGCTAGCTGAAATAAACTCTAAGATCGAGAACCTCAACACAAGGGTTTACTCTCTGGAGAATCATGCTTCTTCTGTTGCTGCTGCTACAAAGCAAGGACAACTACCTGGTAAAGCTATTCAGAACCCCAAGGAACAGTGCAAGGTCATCTTCACTCAAGAAGGACTTGTTGAAGAAGAGGATCAAGAAAGGGTCATTGAAGATTTTTGTTTACTGCTGAATGATGAAGAGATTGTTGCTGCTGAGGCTCCTGGAGTCCAGATTGATCAACCAGAAGTGCATGCACCTACTGTGGCCATTCACACTTCACCAGTTGAGCTCGCACGACAAGCTCGATCGGCAGCTCGATCGAGTCCAACTCTAGCTCGATCGAGTCCGACCTCTTCTGTCCCAACCTGTTTTGCTTGATCCTTACCAACCGGTTGCCGCTTCCTCGTCTCGCCTACTTAGTCAAGGTCACAAGGAAGTGATTCACAAGTTCAGAAGAGATCTCAGTGGGATTGGAATTGAGTTGCCTCTATGGATAGCATGAGTGAGGCATTTGATCAAATGCAAATGGTCAAGGATGTTCTAGCCAACAGTGATAAAGTTTCAGAGGTCCTACAAGAGTCTACTCATCAGTTCAACCTGCTTACTTCACCCACCTTCCTACCAAAGGTCAAGGATCAAGGGAAATTCACTCTCCCTTGCACACTTGGGCATCTTGAGATTGACAATGCCTTAGTGGATTCTGGAGCAAGCATCAATCTGATCTCTCTCTCCATGGCAGAGAAGCTAGGCATTGCTGGAGCCTTGCAGCGCCCTACTACTTCAATCATGTTTGGAGATGCAACTTCTAAGTCTCCTCTTGGAGTGTTCAAGAACTATCACTTGAAAATTGGAGAATGCATCATCCAAACTGATCTCACTGTGATGGAAATGGAAGAAGAGAAGGATTTGCCTTGTTATTGGGAACCCCTTTCCTTAGTACAGTTGGCGCTTCAATAGACTTTCACAAGCAAGAAGTGATCCTTCACAAGGTGAATAGTTTGGTGTCATATCGCTTGCAGCCTAGAGGTTCAGACTTTTGTGCCACAATTGACAGTACCAATCTCAGTTCTAAGAGTCATGGAGCTACAAAGGTTGTGAAGGAAAGGGTTGACAAAGAACCAAGAGTTGGGAAGGATAAGGATGAGAGAGGACCAAGGATTGAGAAGCCACGTCTTGAGAGGGCTAGAGTTGAGAAACCACGATCTGATAGGCCACGAGCTGAGCGACTTGTTCAAGCCCCTTGTGTGCTTGATGAAGAGAGCCTTCAAGCTTTGTTTGATGAGCCACTAGGAAGGGCTCTAAAAGAAGGGGAGGATGCAGCCTCTAAGGCAAGACCAGGAGATAAAAGAAAGGATCCACCAGCTCAGGCCCCTTCAGTCAAGCCATCTCAGCTCACAATGACCTTGTTCCCCACCAAGTTTGAAAATGGGAAGATTGAGTACAAGATAAGGTACAAGGGGAGATCAAGGCCATTCTCTAGAGCCAAGGCCTTGGTGACTTCAGAACAGTCCAGGGACCCAACCAAGCTAAAGGAGCTTCTGTCTCAAGTCCTCACTATCACCCTTGATGGTGGGACTAGCTCAACCAATGCCTAAGAAGGTAAAGGTCAAGCTATGGGACCTTAAACAAGCTCACTTGGGAGGAAGTCCCATGTTTATCCTTGTACATATTCTATTTATGCAATTTCTATCTAGTTTTGTGTTTTAACCTTTGAATAAGTTAAGTTTAGGTGTCAAGGAGCCAGCTCGACCGACAGCTCGATCGAGCTAGAAACAGGGCAACTCGATCGAGTTCCACAACTCGACCGAGGTAAGTTTTTGAATTTCAAATTCATAACCGTTTTCTTGGTCAAGGGAGTGGGTCCCACAAGCTGATTTTGGTCCCCCACTACCCTAATTGATCAGAAAACCCTAGCTTTTGTCCCCTCTTTATTTCATCTTTTAATCTCAACCACACATCTCAAACACTCCCTCTTCCCCATAACTCGATCGAAATCCCTCTCTCCCACACTTAAATTTCTGAAAACCATCTCTCTCTCACCACAAGAAAAATCGATTTCAACTCTTTCTCTCTTAAGTTTTTGCGATTTCTTTGTTCTCATCTTGTTTGCTTAGTTCTAGCTACTGCTCTTCAATCATCATTCCAAGCAAGGTATGAACACTAAACCCTTGATCCTTCATCTCGATTCTCCATTGCTTGTTTCCTCTTTGATTTTTGATTGCATGTGTCCCTTGAGGACTTGTCCTTGAGTAATTGCTTTCCTTTATGCTTCATATTTGTATAATCTTGTGAATTTGCCTCACCTCACCTCTGTTTTATCATTAGAACTTGTTGCATGTGCTTGAAATTTGAATTTGAGTTTGGTAATGGTTAAATGCTAAGGCTTCACTAGAATTGCTTTTGTTCCCTTACTTGATGTTACTGGTTCAATTTGATTGATTAGCATCTTTTCCAGCTCTTATTGTTTGATTTGGTTCGGTTATACTCTGTTTTCACTTGACTCGATCGAGTTTGTCACTCGAGTTTTTTGACTCGATCGAGTTGAGTGTCGAGTTGGCCGAACCAACGATTACAACTCTAATTCCTTGAGTTTTTGATGCATTTCAGGAACCCAACTTCAAGAAGCAACCGTTTAAGATGTTGAGAGGTGAAGGAAGCAAGCCAGCATTCACAAAGAAGGAGATAACAAGAGGAGCAAGGAGGATACTCAAGACACTAACCAAGGAGGATGAGGAAGAGATTGAGAGGGTGAGGGAAGAGAGAAGAACCAAGAGAAGGAATGATCCTCATCAGCAGTGAGAGCGAAGTAGGAGAGTTTGAAATTGGAGTGAACATCCCACATGAGGAGAATGATGACTCCCCAAGTGAAGAAGAGGGTGAAGAGGTCAATCAAGAGATTGAGGAGAGTGAGCATGAGAGCAATGAGAATGTGCCCATGGAAGAGGAGGAGTCAGAGGAAGAAGAGGATGAGCTCCCCATGTACCAAGAGCATTATGATGCTCTCTTCTCCATGGACTTTGTGGAGACCAAGTACCCACATGATGACACAATGAGGCTCTTGGGATCTTTGATGATGTGGAGCTGGTCCTCAAGAACATGCGCTTGGCCAAGTTCTTCTCTTACCGCTTGGAGTCATACAAGGAGCTCACTTGTGAGTTCTTGGCATCAATGAGGTTCCACAAGTACAGGCAGCTCGATCGAGCTGAGTTGGATCAAGGTTGGGGATGGATCACGTTCTTGGCAAGAGGAGAAAGGAAGGCAGTGACCTTCAGGCAGTTGGAGATCCTTTTGGTTTCACTTATGGGAGGGAACCCATTGGGATATCAAGGAGGATGAGCTACAAAGGGTTTGGGCTACAATCGCTGATGGAGTATACTCTTCCTCACGGTCTAAGGCAGCTCAAATCAGGAGCCCAGTGTTGAGATATGTGCACAAGGCTCTCGCCAACACCTTCTTTGCAAGGAAAGGCGACTGGGACAATAAATGAGGGAGAAGTGAAGCTCCTTGACATGGGAATCAAGCCCATCATCTCACGCACCAAGGATGGGAAGAAAATCAGGGGAGATAGAATCCATGCAGGGAACCTCATGCCTCTCATTGACCAGCTACTCTCCTACAAGACAACCGCCTATAGCACTCGGTTTCAAACGGGAAGGAAGCTTAGTGTTGGAGGAGTCATCACGCCTATCCTCTGTGCAGCTGGAGTCCATTTGGACAAGAGAAGGTCTACTCCAGCAGGATGGATGGATATTAAGTTTTGCAAGACCAACCTCTTCATTGAACACAAGGAGTTGGATGGGAGGTTCCAATTCAAATTCACTCATCCTTTGGCTGGCCCCTCCAAGCTTCTTCTGCCCAACCCTGAGCTCACCACGGTTCTAGGAGGTACCAACATTGACTTCAGCCCCCCACTTTACACATTAGTTGGGCATGAAGAGGATTTGCGAGAAGAGGAGCCTGAACTCGATCGAGCTGAGGATCGAGTTGAGGACAACGCCATGTGAATGGATTTGGGTGAGCCTGAGTGCTACTACTTTGAGGAGTATGAGGCTCCAAGGATGAACCCCTCTGTTGTGGCTGCCCACAAGAGGATTGGACTTCTCCAAAGGTTCAACAAGTGGCAAGGGAAAGCCATGGAAAAGATGCAAAAGTCCATGGACAAGATGGTGAGCAAGATCAAGAGCTTGGAGAAGAAAGTTTCTGGTTCTTCAAGCAAGAAGAAGAAGTCCAAGGCTCCACACTCCCAAGGAGTAAATCTCTCCTCACCACTCCAAGAAGGCTCCCTGCCCACGAGCCTCACAGGGCCTCATCATTTGAACCAAGGGAAGGAGAGGAAACTCGCAGAGGAGGAGGAAGAGTTCCAAGACTCGACGCTCCAACTCGATCAGCGAGCTCGACCGAGCTGAGGGTCGAGTTGACCTGGAGGAGCCCCTGTTTGAGAACCCTGGGTTCGAGTACGATTCAACCCAGTACCAGGACTTCTCTCAGACCACTGGACTCCCTACAACCGCTTCGAGCAAGCACAGCTCCTCCAAGGCCAAGGAAGCCACACACACTTTCGATGAAGAAGAGGAGGAAGAGGAGCCACAAGCTCGATCGAGTGAGCCGAACCCAGTCGAGTGGAGTGCTCCTGATGGCCGTCTACCATCTCCAGACCACGACCTAGCCTCCCAGTTCTTTGGGGGGCACTGAGGTATCCAAACACCAACCCTTGTAATACCATTTCATATTTTCTTGCATTTGTTTTTTTTTCTTGGTTTTGCCCTCTTGAATCTTTCACTAAATTTTTCTCACACAAGGGACTGTGTGATTTAAGTTTGGGGGAGGGTTCAAGAGATGATTTAACCTTGTTTTCTTTGTTCTTAGTTTTTCATTTATCTTTTGCATAGAAAAACCAAAAAAATCATAAAATTTTCAAAAAATCCAAAAATATTTTCATCTTTTTGCATTCATATTTGTTAGACTTGTTTAGGATTGCATTTTCACTTGCATTGTTGATTTGACTTTGAAAACTTGTTCATCTTTGCGATTTCTTGAGTGCCCTGTTTTTAGATTCTTTTGTGCATTAGGGTGAGATTGATTGAGCAGCAAGAACCATGTTTATCTTGATCATATCGCTGCATGCACATCTCATTCAACCATTGCTGTGATTTGATGCATTTCCCTATCTATATTGAACCATAACTTGATCTTTAATTACCAATGCTTGCATTTGATTTCAACTCATGGCTACCACATACATATCTGGACATTCTTTACCATTTTCATATCCCTTTGCTTGTCCAGATAGCTGATCTCTATCTTTGAGACAGTTACCACACCTTAACCTAAGCCTTTTCATTTCAAACCCCTTATTATCTCTTGTGCGATTGTGAGAACCTTTCTTGGCTTTGCTTAGCATAAGGTGTTGTTTTAAACCGGCAGGGGCAGTAGTTCTAGTTGTCTAGTTCTCTTGGGATTGTTTT